GTACAGAGGCAAAGAGAGCCCATCGTTTTGCTGACGGACTTCTCCCAGCAGTCCGTCACAACATTGTAGGTCACGGCGTTCAGACCTATGCCCGCACAGTCGCCATTACCCAGGAGGTAGATGCCAGCATTCGACGAGAAGCTATCCCAACACCAGCCCAGCCAGTTGCTAAGCCACCAGCCCAGCCCAACGTTGCCCAATCATCAAAGAATCAGAAGAAGAGGAAGTTCAGACCAACTCAAGACGAACGGAGGACTCGCCCCAGACAGATACCAACCTGCCCGACATGTGGAAAACGCCACCGTGGAGAATGCCTTATGGGCCAGAACATTTGTTTCTTTTGTCGTCAGGCAGGACATATCAGCCCCAATTGCCCAGAACGACTGCAACAACAACCGCAACAACGACAGCCACCTCAGCAACCTCAACAGCAGCAGCCCAGGCAACAGCCACCACGACCCCAACAACAACCACGCGGCGGACAGCAGGCCCGTGTCTTTGCAGTTGACCAGAGGGAAGCCGATCAGCACCCAGGTACCATGTCTGGGATGATTATTCTTAATGATGTACCTATTTATGCCTTGTTTGACACCGGAGCGACCCATTCTTTTATATCACGTCGATGTCTCGAAGCTATTGGGGTCCATTCTCTTATCACTGTCAATCCTCTCGAGGTGAGTTTAGCCTCGGGGCGAAAGATAATGACTGACGCTTGAGCCACCGATCTCAGCCTTTCCATCAGCGGCCGTATTCTGACTACTGATGCTTATGTTATCGAGATGAGGGATTTTGACCTCATACTCGGTATGGATTGGCTAATACATTTTCACGCAGATATCTGATGTCATGACCGGGAGATTACTCTTTATCTTCCGGGAGATGATCAGATCACTTATTTCGGCTCCAGGACTCGTACTCTGCCCCACGTTATTTCTATGGCGAAAGCCAGAAAGATTCTTCGACGGGGTGATTGCCAGGGTTACCTTGTGAGCCTCGTTGGAGATGAGCCAAAGGCACGTTCACCTCATGACATTCCCATTGTTCGTGAGTTTGTGGACGTGTTCCCAGACCAGCTTCCCGGTGGTCCACCTAGCCGACAGGTGGAATTTTCTATCGATCTTATCCCTGGAGCCGGACCCGTTTCTAAGGTGCCATACGGAATGGCACCCAAAAAATTGCAGGAATTAAAGACCCAAATTCAAGAGTTGCTGAATCTTGGTTTTATTCGACCGAGCGTCTCACCTTGGGGAGCACCCGTTCTCTTTGTCAAGAAGAAGGACGGATCTATGCGTATGTCTATCGACTACCGGGATCTTAACCGGTTGACGATCAAGAATAAATATCCGCTTCCCAGGATCGATGATTTATTTGATCAGTTGAGGGGTGCTTACGTGTTTTCCAAGATTGATTTGCGTTCAGGCTACCATCAGCTAAGAATCAAAGAGTCAGACATACCTAAGACAGTGTTTATTACGAGATACAGTCACTTCGAGTTCGTGGTTATGCCGTTTGGCCTCAGCAATGCCCCAGGCAGTATTCATGGACTTGATGAACCGTGTATTTCATCCTTTCCTTGATCAGTTCGTTATTGTATTCATTGATGATATTCTTATCTATTCCAAGAGCCAGAAGGAGCACGAGGAGCATCTGAGGGCCGTTCTTGCGACCCTTAGACGAGAAAAGTTATACGCAAAGTTCTCCAAGTGTGAATTTTGGCTTCAGTGAGTGGCCTTTCTTGGCCACATTATTACTCAAGCAGGTATTGAAGTAGATCATTCCAAAATTGCCGCAGTCCAGAACTGGTCAGCACCGAAGAATCCATCCGAGGTTCGTAGTTTCCTCGGCCTTGCGGGTTATTATCGC